GTCGTATTTTTATGATTTTTTTTTCTCGTCGGATTTCTCTGATTTTTGTTACTCGTTTTTTACTCGTGGGTTTTTCCGATTTTACCTTTTTGGATTTTTCTGATTTACCTTTTTGGATTTTTCTGATTTAGGATTTCTTCCATTTATTTATTGGATTTCTTTGATTTATTTATTGAATTTCTTTGACTTATTTATTGGATTTCTTCAATTTCTTGGTTTGGTTGTTCGGTTTGTCGGTTGGTTGGTTGATTTGCAGACTTTTACTTTGAAAATGTATCTTATGGAAAACTAAATCACATTTCAGATTCATCTAAATTAATTTATAGTAAAGGTGTGTTGCTTTTGTTGCTCCTCGAGGATGAATAAAGTTTTCTGAATCTGAAATTTGTGTCACCTTGAAGGCCTGAGATATGTCCTTCCTCTCCACCTCCATGCTGTCCTTCATCATCTCCAGCTGCCGTTCATAGTAGTTCATCTGAGGGAGCGGATTAGTTCATGTCATTAACGATCTAAAACCAGATCATTTGCAGTCTGTCACAGTGTTACCTGAGTCTCCAGCTGGATGTTGAGCTGCTGCAGCTCCTGCTTGTGTTTCTCCTTCATCTGCTCCACAACCAGTTCAGTCTGGATGCTGACTGCAGGACTCGAGACATCGTCCAATGAGGACAAATCTGAGGACAAAGGGGTGAGACCATCAGGTGGACTTGCAGGGACCATGAGGTGTGGGCCTACAGGTAAATGGTAAACACACTGTACTTATATAGCTCCTTTCTGTCCAACCAGGAGAGTGAAAGCTCTTCACATTACAATCTGTGTCCTCATTTACCCTTTCACACAGCACTCTACTGTGTCGGTCTACGAAGATAATCTGGATCATTCTATGGAGACTCATGAGTGCTTTTAAATCATGTTTTACGTGTCATGATAATCCCCCCCCCCCCAAAAAAAAGAAACAAGCAAAAAAAAAAACAGCCTTGTGGGGACCGAAGTGAATCGTGGAGACCTGGCATTGGTCCCCATGGGTCCAAATGCAAATTACAGGTGTGGGGTTAGGTTTAGGACCAAGGTTTAAGTTAGTTTTAGGGTTTTAGGGTTGCTGTGAGGTTAATTTTAGCGTAAATGGTCAGGGTTAGGATATAAAGTCTAAAAAAAATGAATGGAAGTCAATGGAAGGTCCCCACGGGGTTCAAGAACAAACGTGTGTGTGTGTGTGTGTGTGTGTGTGTGTGTGTGTGTGTGTGTGTGTGTGTGTGTGTGTGTGT